CTTTATAGGATATAAAACTTAGAAACAATTCTTAATATTCCTATTAGATTTAAATGGTTTAAACTAAAAATAAGACTATATTAAGCACTATCAGTACTTGTAAAATTTTAAAGTTTCTAGACGTTTTATTTTTTACTCAATACAAAAATGATTAGCTGACATTACTAATTGCCCAAAACTTTTAAAAAACTAAGCATTCTTTGTTAAAGAACAGATTATAAGAAATATTCTCTATGTCCTTGTTTTAAAAGCAAGATTCTGAAGTACATAACAAATCTAAATCAAAATTCACAAATCGTGGTTGAAGTCCTGTCAACTTTCAGCCTACTACAACATAAATCCACACTTGTTATGCATAAACAATTCAAAATTAAAGTTTATAATGGAAATGTCAAAAAGTCATAACTATCGCACATCCCTGCTGATGGCTCCACTGTTCTTCAACCAGGCACAGCAGATGTGCACAGCTGCCAGACAGCCTGCTTAGAAAATTAAAGCTATCGGAGCTATAAATAAGGAACATGTAACTATGAATACAGCAATACCAAAGCATTAGGGACATTTAAAAAAATGAGCAAGATGTGATATAAACACATCTCATAGTTCTCTTTGTAAGCCACTTTTCACTGACTTACAAAGTTACGGTTTTATAATTCTTTTTAAAAGGAAAATTTTTCTACACTGCTGCATGCAGTAATTTTACTGTACATTCTTGACTACAATGCAATATTAAAATCCTCTTGCACAGCTTGGCATATCAAGAGTTTTCCAGAGTCAGCTTGTTGTATTTTCAGCAGCCTAGAACACAAAACCAAGACTCATTATTTAAAAAAACAAAACAAAACTACAGAAAAAGGAAGATAAATTTAGCCAGTACTATACTCTATTTAACAAAGAATTATTCCCCCATATAACTGGGCTACTTTTATCAGGACTAATACAGTGGTCTTCATTTTTGTTGTAAATCAGGGCTACCTTGTGAATTGGTAATATTGTGATCTTACTGCTAGGACAAGGTAGAAAACAGTTGTATCATCTTAAACATAGTTAAGAAAACATGTAGAAGTGTATATCCACTACAAAATTAAAACATGATACAACTTGGTCCCAGAGCCTTCATTAGTTTTTTTCCCATGTTTTATTATAGTGCACAAAGGGAACTAAGGGTGAAAAAAAGACCTTCTACAAAATGGAGAAAACAAGAGCAAAATAGGATAATAAACATCTGGCCAACCTGTTTCACCTATACCACCAAATGCTACACTTTCCCAGATGGCTGTAAAGAAATTCCCAGACACCTTATCATTTGTCACTAAATGACTTGTAGATATTTCTAGAAAGACTTAAAAAAAATAAAAAAATGATTCACACAACTAAAAAGTAACTTGTTAATGCCATATAGACATGATGAGCTTAATTTAAAAAATTAGGTTTTTGGGGCCAGGGAGATAGCTCAGTAGAATAAGCACTTGCCTGGCAAGTATAAGGGACCTAGTTCAATCTCCAGTTCCACAAAAAAAAAAAAAAAAAATTAGGTTTTTAATGTATAATCACACCAATGATTCACAATACTATAACTCTGTGAAAGTGAAAGGTAAAATAATAGGATATTACTATTTTCTATAGTTAACTAAGGAGCAAAACAAAAAATGTCTCAGATCAACAGTTCCTTGCAACATTTTAAGACGTACCTCATTTATGTTTTACACATTCTAAAATAGAGACAAATACCAAAATAAACTCAATACTAACTAGTAATTTCAGATAAAGACAATAGAATGCAGCTGAAAATTTTCTAATTCTAATACCAAAAGAAATAAACACAAAATATGAGAAAAATTCATTGACAGCAGTGATATGAGAGTTAAGTATGGCCAGCAACATGCTGAGCCCACCAGCAGCAGCAAGGACAGGAGGATAGCAACTAATCCCAGGAGAATCAAGTTGACAGAGTACTATTTCACAGTTGTCTTGGTTACTCTTCTCTTGTTGCTGGGACAAAATACCCAACACCGAAAATGAAGGAAGGAACGGTTTACTTAGCTCAGTTAGTGGAGGTTTCAAGTCCATACTCGGCTGGCTCCATGGCAGAGCGCCACATGGCAGAAGGCAGCAGTTCATGATGGCAGAAAGCAGCAAAACAGGAAGAGCAAAAGGGCGGAGTAGTGGCAACAGAGGGCAAGCCTATCTCCCTTATCTTGCATCCAGGCTATCCATCCAGGTTGGCTGCAGCAGCACTCACACCCATAATCCCAGTGGACCATAAGTTAATCACAAACTCTAGAAGTCCACCCCATGACTGCATGAGGCTTTGGGGGGATAACTAGAGCAAACTATAACAAAAGTTCAGTGAAATTAAGTATATATTTTTTTATTTTTAAATTAGTATTTGACTATTCGGAATGGTGTTCCTCAAACATTACCATCAGTCATCTCTTGTGATTTTGAATGACTTTTTGGTTCTTTTTTTTTTACTTTTCTTATTTAAGCATTTTTAAATCGCAAGGAGGCATGATTTTTATAGAAACGAAACAGGTAACAAACTATCCTAAAGACAAGACAAAGCTCTAAGTAACATTTTTTCTTAGAAACCTTAGAGGATCTCCTTGCTCTTACATTTTAATGAGATGCTGGTGTGCTGCCTTAGATCATGGGAGAATGTGTTTTAGAGCATCTGTGTGTTCAGAGGTTGAGCTTCTATACAAATGCTAAACTGTTTCTGATATTATTACTGGGTCTGCCTCCCACCTTTCACTATGGTCTATAAAGCGAATATATAAGGCCAAAAAAGCTATGCCAAAGAGCGATTTCTGAATACCTTATCCTAACTCCCTAGGTTATACATTATCTAAGACAATGCTATGTAAAAAACACCTGCAAGTTCCTCTCCACAGATCTCAAAACTGTAGTACAATGCCAATTCTTTCAAACTTTGATATAATACAAAAGAAATTCATGTAGTTGTGGCAGATGTGTATTAAATAATCTTCTGCTAGAACTTCAGAAATACAATGATGTCTATATTTTTTATTGCTATTAAAGAGAGCTATGAGAAAATACTGAACCCAATGTCCCCAGGGCATAGACCAAGAAGTCTGTGTCTGATAACTATTTCACCCTTTCCCAAAAAGCTAGCTCACATTAGTTCTTAGATGCTATTGCAGGAAGAAGCTTTGTAGTTAAGCAAACAGCTCTGAAGTCACACAGTCCAGCTCCACCACACGGCCCTAAGTATGTGGGGGCAGTGACCCGAGCTTCGGTGCATGAAGCAGCAGTGTCGCAGCAGCACTGCAGTGTGTCCTGTGTGAGTAACAGAAATAATGCTACCGCGGCCTGTAGAACCTATGGCCTTTTAAAGAAAGCTCTCTTTATACATATAAGCTATTCTTATTACATTACTCACAGGTTTTTCTTTTCACTATGAAAGACTTATATTTGGGTTTAAAAGGTCAGATAATCTGGAAAATGGCCAAGTATTTGAAAAGACACCTACCAAAAGAGTTGGCCAAAACCCACATAAAGGCGTTTTTGCCTTTCACCTCAGTGGTGTTCACAATCGCGTATAAAACCAAACGAGGAACACATGCACATCCTAGAATGGCTAAAATTAAGAAGGCTCACAATAAATACTGATAAAGAACAGAGCAAAGGGCAACTGATATGGTGCTAGCAGAAGTTGTATTTAAAATACAACTGTTTGGGGGCCAGGGAGATGGCTCAGT